TATCTCCCCTGGACCAGGGTCTGTGTGATTCTCTGCCGCTTCTCTATGTAGATTATCCGAAATCTATTTCTGCATCGTCCTTCTCTTCTCTCAACAGCAACAAATTACATTTGTATAGCGCCTTTCACAGGTGCTATACAATGTCTCATTATACACATGATCCCTCTGTTACACTTAACTTGCTTTTCCAATTTCGCTATCTATTGCTCACACTGAATATGTGATGCCGCATCACGCTGTTTATGTTGTGATAATATATTCGCTTACCTTAGCTGCCTGTGCTTTAAATGTAGCTTTTTAAATCTCCATTCTTCCTTGTCAAGTGTTTGCAATGCTGTTCGAGCTTCCTCTTCTCTACTTCTGGACTTTCTGCTGTCCACCTTAATTCTCTCACCTGCGACTGATAATATTCTACATTTCTCTCTTGAAGCTGCATTCGCTCAGTCCTTTTGTAACCTGTTTTAACATTGATTCTAACTCTCCTGTCTTATTTCAAGAGCTCTGTTTTTCTCCTCTGATGCCCAGGTTTATCTCCATTTAGAATACCCTTCGTATTTAACGGCCCCATTTTTTCTAAATCATATTCCTGTTTCATTTGCGAGGCCAGCAACCATATTGCCTTTTTATGCTTTACTTTTCAAGCAGCAAGCCTGTTCAGGTGCCAACATCTGTAGGATTATTTTTTCCTCATCAGAGGTGCTTTTAACCTCAAATCCAAGGTTGGAATGATCAGGAGCGCACCCTGGGAGGTTTGAAGAGACTGTCTCCTTGAAGTTGATTGCAGTTCTGTTACCAGACTGTTAGTCCACAGTTTAGTCCATAGCTCTCCTCATCTCCTCAACAGACATTGTCTTTTTATTATCTTTCATTATCTCCTGTTTACCTCGTGAATTTTTCCATATAACGAGTTGGTTTCAAATCCTCTTCAATTACAAAGAGTTGTTTTTCTACTTCCTAGCAGCTACCATTGTCACTCTCTTGCTCTTATGATTATAACATAATGGACTTCCTCCTTCTGGTTATCTTTCTCATTGTCTGGATAACAAACCAGGCCATCATGCTTTGTGAGCTAGTCTATGGTCAATGACCATTTACCATGGAGAGTATAATATTTGACACTTACACAAATTTGCTGTAGTTATAGTCACAAAATATAATAATACTATGTATGAGTGTTGGTGTGAAGATGACTATAATAATAGTAATCTTTGCATTTGATACAGCGCTTTTCACGTCTTCTAGACGTCTCAAAGTGCTTCACAGAATATGCTGTAAAGTGAATTGGTTTTATAATTTGTGGGCGAAACGCGGCAGCCAATTGCGCACAGCAGTGTCCCACAAACAGTCGTGGAATGAGTGACCAAATTATAATTTTTTTTTCTTGAGGGATTATGACCAGGTGTATGGAGCAAGGAAACTTGCCAGGCGAGTGCTCTAATCACTGAGCTACAGGACTCCAACTATAATCACAAGTTCTGACAAAGGGTCGTGGACCCAAAACGTTGACTCACTTTCCTTTCTCCATAGATGCTGCCTGACCTGCTGAGTGTTCCCAGCGACTTCTGTTTTTGTTTTCAGATTTCCAGCATCTGCAGTATTTTGTGTTTTGTTTTATAATCACAAGTGATTTCTGTTGAGTATTGGTGTGTGAAGTTGATCTAACCATAACTTGTGTTACTGTAAAATAAAAACAGAAATTGCTGGAAACAGGAATTCCCTGTCAGGCAGCATCAATGGAGCAGAAAGTGAGTAAACATTTTAGGTTGACGACTTTTTGTCAGAACTCTAACGAAAGAATGACAAGCTTAACCATCAGAACACCGACAAAAGGTCATTGAAGTGACTTATGTTTTTATTTCAGATTTCTAGCATTTGTAGTATTTTGCCTTGTGTTACAGTGATTCATGTTGACTGTAACTACTGGTTATAGTGACTGTCAGCACCTGAGGTGAGGAGGCGATGACTGGAGCCAATCAGGAGAGTCTCGGTCTTGTTGACATTCAACTGAAGAAAATAAGCTCTTATACAGGACTTGATGTCTGACGGATTGACTATAACTGTAGTATTGACTATAACTACAGGCTACAATGACTGGCAGTGATTGCTATTGATTATAACCATAGGTTATGGTGACTGTCAGTGATTACTATTGACAACAACAACAAAATTACATTTGTAAAGTGCCTTTCACGTCGGGAGGACGTCCGAAGGTGTTGGACCATGGAGGGCTTTAAAGGTGAGGACCAGGAGCTTGAACTGTATCCTCCGTGTGATGGGATGCCAGTGGAGTCAGGTGAGGATGGGGGTGATAGGGTCGCAGAGCCTAGTGCAGGAGAGGACACAGGCGCAGAGTTCTGGATGATCTGCAGGCTATGAATGGGGGGACAAGCAAGGAGTTTGCATAGTCAAGCCTGGATGTTATAAATGTGTGTATGAGGGTTTCAGCGCCTGTGGAGTGAGACAGCGGTAGAGACGGGGGATTTTGCAGAGGTGGTGGAAGACAAGAGCGCGTCATGGTGCAGATGTGGGGGTCAGAAAGGATAGTCAAACAAGACCCCAAGGTTCCGGACTGGCTTAGTAAGGTGGAATTTGCAACCATAGATGGTGATGCTGTCAGCACCTGAGATGAGGAGGAGATAACAGGAGCCAATCAGGAGAGTCTCGGTCTTGTTTGCATTCAACTGAAGAAAATGAGCTCTTATACAGAACTCGATGTCTGACGGATTGACTATAACTATAGGCTACAGTGACTGGTAGTGATTACTATTGACTATAGCCCAAAGGCTATAGTGACTGGCAGTGATTAGTGTTGAGTATAACCCACAGGTTATAGTGACCAGCAGTGATTGCTGTTGACCATAACTACATACGATAGTGAGTGGCAGTGATTACTGTTGACTATGTTGGGATTTCCGATCCCTAGAGTTCAAAATATGACCCGACAATCCAAGATGGTGCAATAATTCTTTTATTATAAGACAGTGAGCTTAATAGTGTGTAAAGAAGAGCATACTACCGGTTAATCCACATAGAACAAAAGTGGAAGAGAAATTTCTTGGCTGTTGTCACGTGCTTGCCCTGGTTTCGCTGGTGTAATTTCCTCGCTCCCCTCTTGCCAGCCGGGACTAACTGACTTCTCTCTCTCTCTTCACTAATTATACCCCTTTCTGGACTCTTGCCAGGTACCTTCTTCCCTCTCACAACTTGTCCTGCGCGTACTCATCCTAATCAATCACAGGCCTGGTGCCAGCCTGACCGGTGTTGATAAGGTGAGTCTCCATTGTCTTGTTTATAATGATGTTAATTCGGGACTGGCCTATTGGGAAGTCTATTTCTAATCTTCCTTGGCCTAGCACATGATGTTTTTCAGAGCCTTTTCTCTCCATTTCTAGTTGGTACCCAAGGTTACAATAACACTTAACGATGTGCATCTGGAGAGAGATAACAGGTACCGTGTTTCCAGCCTGTGCCACATTCCGTTAGCAAGAAAGCTAATTTGGTGGCCATTTTGACCTGTTAATACAATTGATTAAACATATCTTAAAAGAATGGATATAAAAATCTTGTTCTATTCTAAATGATTATAGGGAAATCCCTATATCCCAACAACTATAACCCATAGGCTATAGTGACTAGCAATGATTTCTGTTGACTGTAACTACAGGCTACAGTCACTGGCAGCGATTACTGTTGACGATAACTACAAGCTATAAGGACTGGCACTGATTACTGTTGTCTATAACTACATATTACAGTGACTGGCAGTGATTACTGTTGACTATAACCCATAGGCTACAATGACTGGCAGTGATTGCTGTTGACTATAACTACAGCTATAGTGACTGGCAGTGATTATCGTTGACTGTAACTTCAGCTATAGTGACTGTCAGTGATTACTGTTGACGATAACCCATAGGCTATAGTGACTGGCAGTGATTGCTGTTGACTATAACTATAGGCTATGGTGACTGGCAGTGATTACTGTTGACTATAACTACAGCTATAGTGACTGGCAGTGATTACCGTTGACTGTAACTACAGCTATAGTGACTGGCAGTGATTACTGTTGACTATAACTACAGCTATAGTGACTGGCAGTAATTGCTGTTGACTATAACTACAGCTATAGTGACTGGCAGTGATTACTGTTGACTGTAACTACAGCTATAGTGACTGGCAGTGATTACTGTTGACTATAACTACAGCTATAGTGACTGGCAGTAATTGCTGTTGACTATAACTACAGCTATAGTGACTGGCAGTGATTACTGTTGACTGCAACAACAGCTATAGTGACTGGCAGTGATTACTGTTGACTAACTACAGCTATAGTGACTGGCAGTAATTGCTGTTGACTATAACCCATAGGCTATAGTGACTGGCAGTGATTACTGTTGACTATAACCCATAGGCTATAGTGACTGGCAGTAATTACTGTTGTCTAGAACTATAGGCTATATTGACTGGCAGTGATTGTTGTTGACTATAACTATAGGCTATAGTGAGTGGCAGTGATTGCTGTTGACTATAACTATAGGCTATAGTGAGTGGCAGTGATTACTGTTGACTATAACTATAGCTATAGTGAGTGGCAGTGATTTCTGTTGACTATAACTACAGCTATAGTGAGTGGCAGTGATTACTGTTGACTATAACTATAGGCTGTAGTGAGTGGCAGTGATTGCTGTTGACTATAACTATAGGCTGTAGTGAGGGCAGTGATTACTAAGTTAAACGAATGTGTTGAAGCTGCAAACCTGGTCTCCAGCTCTTGTCGCGCAGAGTTGTGATGACGTGGAGGTGAATCACCCGCCGGTGCCGCTGCGCGAGGCGGCGCTCCGCGGTGTTGGGAGGTCGGGTCTGCACTGTGACGCGTCCCGAGTGACGTGTGGCATTGGGCTCGTGATTGGGTTACCAACGGGTTTTTCAGTCGCGAGCCGCGGGCGGTGCCTCCCCCCTCCCTCCCCCCTCCCTCAGCCGCTGTGTGTCTGTCTGTCTGTGTGTCGGTCGGTGTCGGTGACCGGAGCTGCTGTGGCTGTTCCCGGGGCCGAATGTTGTCGTCTCTCCACACAACGATGGCGGCGGCAGCGAGGAGGCCCCGACACCAAACCTTCAGCGCGGCGGTCAGGTCAGCGCCCGCCCGCCCCCCACCCACCAGCCCAACCCGCCCCCCCACTCACCAGCCCAACCCGCCCGCCCCCCACTCACCAGCCCAACCCGCCCGCCCCCAGCCCAGGCCCCCAGCCCAGGCCCCCAGCCCAGGCCCCAGCCCAACCCGCCCGCCCCCACCCACCCACAGCCCAGCCCGCCCGCTCCCAGCCCAGGCCCCAGCCCAACCCGCCCGCCCCCCAGCCCCAGCCCAACCCGCTCCCAGCCCAGGCCCCCAGCCCAACCCGCCCGCCCCCCACCCACCCACCAGCCCAGCCCGCCCCCAGCCCAACCCGCCCGCCCCCAGCCCAGCCCAACCCGCTCCCAGCCCAGGCCCCCAGCCCAACCCGCCCGCCCCACCCACCACCAGCCCAGCCCGCCCCCAGCCCAACCCGCCCGCCCGCCCCCCAGCCCCAGCCCAACCCGCCCGACCCCACCCCCAGCCCAACCCGCCCGACCCCACCCACCAGCCCAACCCGCCCGCCCGCCCAGGCCGGGCCCCCAGCCCAGCCCGCCCGCCCCCAGCCCCAGCCCCAGTGCCCCGGCCCTACTCGGCTCAGGTCCGACACAGGCCCCGTCTCCTCCTCCTCCTCCAGACCCCCGTCTCCTCCTCCTCCTCCAGACCCCCGTCTCCTCCTCCTCCAGACCCCCGTCTCCTCCTCCTCCTCCAGACCCCCGTCTCCTCCTCCTCCTCCAGACCCCCGTCTCCTCCTCCTCCTCCAGACCCCCGTCTCCTCCTCCAGACCCCCGTCTCCTCCAGACCCCCGTCTCCTCCTCCTCCTCCAGACCCCCGTCTCCTCCTCCTCCTCCAGACCCCAGTCTCCTCCAGACCCCCGTCTCCTCCAGACCCCCGTCTCCTCCTCCTCCTCCAGACCCCCGTCTCCTCCTCCTCCTCCAGACCCCCGTCTCCTCCTCCTCCTCCTCCAGACCCCCGTCTCCTCCTCCCCCTCCTCCAGACCCCCGTCTCCTCCTCCTCCTCCAGACCCCGTCTCCTCCTCCTCCTCCAGACCCCCGTCTCCTCCTCCTCCTCCAGACCCCCGTCTCCTCCTCCTCCTCCAGACCCCCGTCTCCTCCTCCTCCTCCAGACCCCCGTCTCCTCCTCCTCCTCCAGACCCCCGTCTCCTCCTCCTCCAGACCCCGTCTCCTCCTCCAGACCCCCGTCTCCTCCTCCTCCTCCAGACCCCCGTCTCCTCCTCCAGACCCCGTCTCCTCCTCCAGACCCCCGTCTCCTCCTCCAGACCCCCGTCTCCTCCTCCAGACCCCCGTCTCCTCCTCCAGACCCCCGTCTCCTCCTCCAGACCCCCGTCTCCTCCTCCAGACCCCCGTCTCCTCCTCCAGACCCCCGTCTCCTCCTCCAGACCCCCGTCTCCTCCTCCAGACCCCCGTCTCCTCCTCCAGACCCCCGTCTCCTCCTCCAGACCCCCGTCTCCTCCTCCAGACCCCCGTCTCCTCCTCCAGACCCCCGTCTCCTCCTCCAGACCCCCGTCTCCTCCTCCAGACCCCCGTCTCCTCCTCCAGACCCCCGTCTCCTCCTCCAGACGCCCGTCTCCTCCTCCAGACGCCCGTCTCCTCCTCCAGACGCCCGTCTCCTCCTCCAGACGCCCGTCTCCTCCTCCAGACGCCCGTCTCCTCCTCCAGACGCCCGTCTCCTCCTCCAGACGCCCGTCTCCTCCTCCAGACGCCCGTCTCCTCCTCCAGACCCCCGTCTCCTCCTCCAGACCCCGTCTCCTCCTCCAGACCCCCGTCTCCTCCTCCAGACCCCCGTCTCCTCCTCCAGACCCCCGTCTCCTCCTCCAGACCCCCGTCTCCTCCTCCAGACCCCCGTCTCCTCCTCCAGACCCCCGTCTCCTCCTCCAGACCCCCGTCTCCTCCTCCAGACCCCCGTCTCCTCCTCCAGACCCCCGTCTCCTCCTCCAGACCCCCGTCTCCTCCTCCAGACCCCCGTCTCCTCCTCCAGACCCCCGTCTCCTCCTCCAGACCCCCGTCTCCCCTCCAGACCCCCGTCTCCTCCTCCAGACCCCCGTCTCCTCCTCCAGACCCCGTCTCCTCCTCCAGACCCCCGTCTCCTCCTCCAGACCCCCGTCTCCTCCTCCAGACCCCGTCTCCCTCCTCCTCCAGACCCCCGTCTCCCTCCAGACCCCCTTCCTCCTCCAGACCCCCGTCTCCGCCTCCTCTTCCTCCTCCAGACCCCCGTCTCCTCCTCCTCCTCCAGACCCGTCTCCTCCTCCTCCTCCAGACCCCCGTCTCCTCCTCCTCTCCCTCCTCTCCTCCCAGACCCCGTCTCCTCCTCCTCCTCCAGACCCCCGTCTCCTCCTCCTCCTCCAGACCCCCGTCTCCTCCTCCTCCCCAGACCCCCGTCTCCTCCTCCTCCCTCCAGACCCCCGTCTCCTCCTCCTCCTCCAGACCCCCGTCTCCTCCTCCCTGACCCCCACTCCCTCCTCCTCCTCCAGACCCCCGTCTCCCCTCCTCCTCCTCCAGACCCCCGTCTCCTCCTCCTCCTCCTCCAGACCCCCGTCTCCTCCTCCTCTCCCTCCAGACCCCGTCTCCTCCCTCCTCCTCCTCCTCCAGACCCCCGCTCCTCCTCCTCCTCCTCCAGACCCCCGTCTCCTCCCCTCCTTCCAGACCCCCTCTCCGCCTCCCCTCTCAGACCCCCGTCCTCTCTCCTCCTCCAGACCCCCGTCTCCTCCTCTCCTCTCCAGACCCCCGTTCCTCCTCTCCTCCCAGACCCCGTCTCCTCCTCCTCCTCCAGACCCCCGTCTCCTCCTCCTCCAGACCCCCGTCTCCTCCTCCTCCTCCAGACCCCCGTCTCCTCCTCCTCCTCAGACCCCTCTCCTCCTCCCCTCCAGACCCCGTCTCCTCCTCCTCCCAGACCCCCGTCTCCTCCTCCTCCAGACCCCGTCTCCTCCTCCTCCTCCAGACCCCCGTCTCCTCCTCCTCCTCCTCCAGACCCCCGTCTCCTCCTCCCCTCTCCAGACCCCCTCCTCCTCCCCCCCTCCGACCCCCGTCCCCCTCCCCAGACCCCCCCCCCTCCTCCGACCCCCGTCCCCCCTCCCCAACCCGTCTCCTCCTCCAGCCCCGTCTCCTCTCCAGACCCCCTCTCCTCCTCCCCTCCCGTTCCTCCTCCTCCAACCCCCTCTCCCCTCCTCCAGACCCCCGTCTCCTCCTCCTAATCCTTTGGACCCCCGTCTCCTCCTCCTCCAGACCCCCGTCTCCTCCTCGTCTTCCTTCAGACCTCCGTCTCCTCCTCCTCTTCCTTCAGACCCCCGTCTCCTCCTCCTCACCCCGTCTCCTCCTCCTGCTCCTCCAGACCCCCGTCTCCTCCTCCTGCTCCTCCAGACCCCCGTCTCCTCCTCCTGCTCCTCCAGACCCCGTCTCCTCCTCCTGCTCCTCCAGACCCCCGTCTCCTCCTCCCCCTCCTCCAGACCCCCGTCTCTCCTCCAGACTCCCGTTTCCTCCTCCTCCTCCAGACCCCCGTCTCCTCCTCTTCCTTCAGACCCCCGTCTCCTCCTCTTCCTTCAGACCCCCGTCTCCTCCTCTTCCTTCAGACCCCATCTCTTCCTCCTCCAGACCCCGTCTCCTCCTCACCCCACATCTCCTCCTCCTCCTCCAGACCCCCGTCTCCTCCTCTTCCTCCAGACCCCCATCTCCTCCTCCTCCAGACCCCCATCTCCTCCTCCTCCAGACCCCCGTCTCCTCCTCTTCCTTCAGACCCCCGTCTCCTCCTCCTCTTCCTTCAGACCCCCGTCTCCGCCTCCTCACCCCCGTCTCCTCCTCCTGCTCCTCCAGACCCCCGTCTCTCCTCCTGCTCCCCAGACCCCCGTCTCCTCCTCCTGCTCCTCCAGACCCCCGTCTCCTCCTCCCCCTCCTCCAGACTCCCGTCTCCTCCTCCTCCTCCTCCAGACCCCCGTCTCCTCCTCCTCTTCCTCCGGACCCCCGTCTCCTCCTCCTCTTCCTCCGGACCCCCGTCTCCTCCTCCTCTTCCTCCGGACCCCCGTCTCCTCCTCCTCTTCCTCCGGACCCCCGTCTCCTCCTCTCTCTTCCTCCGGACCCCCGTCTCCTCCCTCCTCTTCCTCCGGACCCCCGTCTCCTCCTCCTCTTCCTCCAGACCCTCGTCTCCTCCTCCTCCTCCTCCTCCAGACCCCGTCTCCTCCTCCTCTTCCTCCAGACCCCCGTCTCCTCCTCCTCTTCCTCCAGACCCCCGTCTCCTCCTCCTCTTCCTCCAGATCCCCGTCTCCTCCTCCTCTTCCTCCAGACCCCTGTCTCTCCTCCTCCTCCTTCAGACCTCCGTCTCCTCCTCCTTCAGACCTCCGTCTCCTCCTCCTTCAGACCTCCGTCTCCTCCTCCTTCAGACCTCCGTCTCCTCCTCCTTCAGACCTCCGTCTCCTCCTCCTTCAGACCCCCGTCTCCTCCTCCTCCAGACTCCCGTTTCCTCCTCCTCCAGACCCCCGTCTCCTCCTCCTCCAGACCCCCGTCTCCTCCTCCTAATCCTTTGGACCCCCGTCTCCTCCTCCTCCAGACCCCCGTCTCCTCCTCGTCTTCCTTCAGACCTCCGTCTCCTCCTCCTCTTCCTTCAGACCCCCGTCTCCTCCTCCTCACCCCCGTCTCCTCCTCCTGCTCCTCCAGACCCCCGTCTCCTCCTCCTGCTCCTCCAGACCCCGTCTCCTCCTCCTGCTCCTCCAGACCCCCGTCTCCTCCTCCCCCTCCTCCAGACCCCGTCTCTCCTCCAGACTCCCGTTTCCTCCTCCTCCTCCAGACCCCCGTCTCTCCTCCTCCCAGACTCCCGTTTCCTCCTCCTCCTCCAGACCCCCGTCTCCTCCTCTTCCTTCAGACCCCCGTCTCCTCCTCTTCCTTCAGACCCCCGTCTCCTCCTCTTCCTTCAGACCCCCATCTCTTCCTCCTCCAGACCCCGTCTCCTCCTCACCCCACATCTCCTCCTCCTCCTCCAGACCCCCGTCTCCTCCTCTTCCTCCAGACCCCCAT